CTGGGACTCTCCACCATTTGACCTTAGAACTGAAGAAGCTTCTCAGATGAGAGGTGAAACGTCTTCAAGCAACTTAAAGAAGTCCAGACGCTTTTCTTTCCAAGCTCCTTTGACTACGATGACCTGGATGACTGAGAACCTTCACAGACATCAGTAACACCGACATTACCTTGAATTTTACTTGGTATCACTTCAGAAAAGACATCAGTGGTATCACACGTCACTTTTAGAGGCTTCAGAGTGTGTGTTGAGTAATCCAGGAAGATTTTTGTGAAGGTTGGGGAAACCTGCATTCAGCTGAGACTGAAGAAGTCACTTGGATGAGTGACAAAACGTTTCTCCCACTGAAAATGTCCGAAGGAACGACAATCAACCTTTTGAGACTATTCAAGGGTCTTTTTGAGATTGAACCAGCAAGAAAGATTTTCCCGTTTTGATTTTGATCTGATTTCTCCCAATACCCACATAGTAATAAATCATTAGTAATAATAACTACAGAAATACCAATAAACAACACAGCACATCACATGTTCTTACATCTTTCTTATAATTTCTGTTGTGTTCAAAAGAGCTTGGATTCAACAACATCACCGCATCTATGCTGAGACATTACAGAGACCTGCAAAAAAACAAGGAGACCAACCAAGGTGGACCAAGCTCAGGTAAGTCACAGGATGTGATGATAAGACAGTATACAAACATAAGATTAGATAGTACATTTCTGTTAAACAACATTATTTATATTTATTTTCTAATTAGTTGGACATAAATTATCTGACATTAAGGAGTGGGACTACAGTTTTTCGTGGCCCTCCTTCCCCCTTTTCACCTCATATTAGTGGAAGGGGATCTGCCTGGCATGGGAGACACAGGTAGTGCCCAATGAGGCCATCCCAAAATCACGTCCTCAGTTCATCTTCATGCCATCTGCCCTTATTTACTAGAAATGCTGTCAACATTGATTTATAATGTAAGTGACTCTCTCAGTTATTGTTTTTTTTTTTAAACGGTGTGTGTGCAGACTGAGGTGTGGGTCGTAGCTGTTTTTCATTTCTTTTTTCTCTCTTCTCCAGCTCAGCCAATCACAGGCCAGCAGCCTGTGGCTAAAGGAATGGCCAAAGCTCTGTTTGACTTCACAGCAGAAAGCGAGGATGAGCTCACACTGAAGGTGTGTGAGGAGCCATAAGTATTTGGACACAAACACACTGTAGTCTTGCCTCTGTACACTTTCAAAGTGCTGATTTTATACATAATCCCTCCTTCACTGGCATTAATACCTCTGTAGACTTCATGTTGACAGTTCCAGTAATCTGATGAGTTTCTCCTTGGATAATGAGAGAACGGGCCTCACTTGGTCATGAAACTATCAGTTAACTATTCAGGTATTTTTAAACCTCAGGAAATTGGCTTAAAAAAAGAAAAAAGTATAAAAACAGTTGTTAATCCAGTGTTTTTGTTAAACGCCTTAAATTAAGGCTGAAAGACTGCACTTCAATCACATCTTGACTGGTTGATTTCAAATCCACTCTGGTGGTATACACAAGAAAAACTACAGAAAACTGACAAATCCTTACAGATCTAAATAAAATACCCTGTCAGATTTCCGGTGTTTAGTTTTTAGGTGTTGATTTCTTTTGGGTGGGTTAATAACATGTCTGCTCTCTCTCTCTCTCTTTGTGTTTCTGTGCAGGCCGGTGATATAATCACACAGGTGGAGCCTGTGGATGAGCAGCTGATGTGGGTAAACAAAGAATGAAACTGTTGTTTGTTGCCGCTCTATAAAACAGGTTGGAGGTTTGGAACTGGAAACCTCCGACCTGTCGATGCTACAGGGAGTGCTGGTGCTCCCACGGACACGCACATGAATCTGATCCAGTGTTGTTGAGAAAAACTGAACCTTTTAAAGGAATACAATCACCTCAGGGTATGCTGGAGGTTTGATAACTTATTTGAAGTGTCTGTGGTCATGATATCTGCGCACTGGATGATTAAGAGGTGGATTTTCCTCTCAGGGTCCATCGGTGGATCTAGCCCGTATAATAAATAAATATGTATCCCAATAAGTATAAAATCCAGAAAGCTACACAACATGGGGAGGTTCATTTACAAACACAAGTCTAACTTAAGTTCCACTGCTTTTTGTAAGAAAAAAAAATCTGATTGTTACATGCTTAATTTACATAAAATGTCAGAAATCTGCACTGTCATGAAAAAAAAAATTAAACCATGATTTGTCAGATTAACCTTCTGAGGTCCAAAATATGATTGGCCATTTTTGACTTCTTTTGATTTTACATTTGTATTTCACCTTTCAATTGTTTCATTTTATTTTTCCCCTTGCCTTTTTTGATATCATTCTTTTCAGCTCAACCTCAGTGGTCTGAATTTAGTTGTTTTTTGTCCAATTCAATTCAATTTTATTTATATAGCGCCAAATCACAAAAACAGTCACCTCAAGGCACTTTATATTGTACAGTAGATCCTACAAT